ATTTTCCAAGAGGTGTCTTGGTATCTCTTCAAAATGTGTCAAAATTCATTATATTCTCCAAAGGATGCCTCCTTTCACAATTCTTTTAACCATATTTTCGTTTCCAGTGTTCATAACCACCCTCTTTAGCCAATAGGTGCCTCAAATGTTGCATCGAAATTCGTCAAAATGAATTAATCCGTCAAGTAACTGTCACTGGCGCATAAGCGCGGGATCTCTAGCACTTAGGCACAGCCTTCTCTGTTTCACCGGCGCTTAATTGCCGGAACTGACGTTTAGGCGCCAAAATGCTTTTGCACCATTTTTACATTTCTGCTCCATATTTGACCATTTTCCATTCATTTTGCCATTTTTCACCTTTTTAGTTATACCTGAAAAAAAAAATACACAAATGACTTCCATTAAAACACAATATCTCAAAAAAAAGTATAAAAATTTGTATAAAAAAACTATATATTTTAGGTGTATCAGAAAGCCATGTGGTCATGCTTCACACAAGTATTGCAGAAACAATTGGCGTAACTTGCCGACTCCCGCCAACTCCCGCCAACTCCCGCCAACGAACGGGACGTGGAACAGTCGTGCGGCGTAGCAGACGAGCCCTTTAGTGCTGCTTCAAAAGCTCGTGCCCAAAAACAGTCCTTCAATGAGCGGCGAGCACGACGAAGGACGACAGACCAGGCACAACCCGACGAGTTCTCCAAAAGACGAAGCACTAAGCAAGACGACAAAAGTTCATGCCCAGACACCGTCTTTCAACGAGCGGCGAGCAAGACGAAGGACGACGGACCAGGCACATCGCAACGAGCTCTCCGATAGATGAAGCACTAAGCAAGACGACGGAGGACGAAACAGAGGAAGTCAAGCTTGAAACCCTTCTTCTTCAAGGGTGAAGTCACCGTAGCAGACGCTAGGATTCGCCATGAGGCGAAACCCTAACAGAGCCTCCCTCCTGATGAAACGTCATTTTTATATGCAATGTATTACAAATTCCTTATATTCAATGTATTACAAATTCCTTATATTTGATGTAAACATGTTACTGTTTGTTATTTTTTATTTTTTTTGGTTCACACGTAGATTTAGGTATTACTGAGGGAGTTATAACTGGAATTGTGGTTAAATAGGTTTTAATTTGTGTGGAGTTGTATTTTCTTTTGGGCATTATGTTTAGATGATCTAAAATTTCACATTTTGTACCTTTCCTTGGTTTTAATAGGAGTCACTCAAGAGTTTGTGTATTAATAAAATTTCAAGAGTTTGTGTATTAATAAAATTTCCTTCGGAGAATATATATATATAGTTTTATTTATTTTATTTTATATTTATTTAACAAAATGCCTTAAAAGTCAAGATAAATGAAGTGTATGTTCATAATATATATTTTTTATATATTTTATTGGATTTATGATTAAAAGATTGTAAGAAGAGAATTAAATTGAATGAAGAATATTCCCATGGGACAGAATTAGATGATAATAAATATGATGATTCTTTTCAAGAAGACTTATAAAAATCTTACACATCATGGAATAATTAAATTTTAAATGAATGTTTACCTAAAATCACAATTAATATTTCTACTCTCTATCAGTATTTAAGATTAAGTTATGTAGTCTATATCTTTATGAAAATAAATTAAATTGATATATCAATATTTTATGCCATATTTATGAATTATTTTTAATTTTATGATTTTTTAAGCGTTACGCCTCGATTTACTTCAAGGTATACGTCTCGCCTCGCTATTACAAAACATATTATTCCTGATTTTACTTCTTTAAGTGTATTATTGGAACTCTGGCAATCCCTCACTCTACATACTTGTTCAGGCAAAAATAATGAATATATATATATATATATATAGAAAACCCAGAAAAGCTAATGCATTAACTAGAAATAAAGATACAGATACAATGTGTGAGAAGACCCAAGCATGACACCCTGCTCACACAAATACCACAAATGATTCCAAAGCTAAGAAATACAGAAAAGTACATAAAGACTTAAAAAAATGCCTAAAAGTGCCGAAATACAAAATATCAGATGGCTGGAGAGCGATCCAATTTGGGCTTGCCTCTACCTCTAGTTCTAGGAAAAGAGCAAGTTAATAAGTTAGTAAGATGATTGCAATTGCCAGTAGTAACCAATGTATTATCTAATATGTTCCCGAGCTGGAGTCGGCCTCCATTCTTCTTCTTCCTCCTGGAGTAGACCTGTCATTCATCATCCGAAGATTGACTCACTTGATCTTGGTCCAAAGTGTGCTGGAGATGTGCAGGTTGTTGAACATTAGAAGCAACTACATGTTGTACTAGCTGATCTGTTATTGGATCAAATGAGCACTCTAGTATGTCTTGACATGTAAGTGAGTCTTCTTCAATAACAGTGGGTGGTATAAACACAACTGGATCTATACTTGTAGTATGGTGTTTTTTGTCAGGAACTGCGATGTTGGAAAGAGGATCGGGTTGCATCTGCTCAATAGGGATGATATGTGACTGATCTTTAAAGATATCCGACCTTAGATGAGAATACAAACGATATTAAATAGTGGAGTTATGGTCAAACATACTACAATGAAAGCAATAAGGTGGGTGTGGTACTATTTCAACATTTTGCCAATACCCATTGTGAGTGACTCCAATCCATATCTCATTCGGAGCTAGTCGAGCGATATCCCTCTTAACTAACACTCAAGTCACAGAGGGTCTAGTGACAGTAAGTGTCGGACTATCAACCTTGAGAGGCTTATTGTAAGCAGTTGCTAAGTAAAAGAGAATTTCCAAGTTGAAAAGACGTAATTTTAACCCAGAAACTTTATCAAAACTAGACTGATAGGAGACTCCGCTTTTGGATCAAAATCAATAATCCACCTCAGAAATTTCATATAACGTTTGTTGATCTTGATAACTTTCCAAGAAAAAATGTGTGTAATCGACATCGTGAGACAACTGAATCAGTATGTGTCGACCATCAACCATCAAGTAAACCAATACAATACTCCAACTGCCCAACAACTTCATAGCATCAAATTCTTTTCGAATGATCTCAATTTTTGTGTGACCATAAAGAAATTTTTCCGCTAAAGCAAAATGCCACGAGGATGCAAGAGTACTGGTTTTAACCTTTGTGAGAATAAGAGGAGGTTTCTCATTATTTTTTCCAGTATTTTAACGAAGGTGTGATCGTCACCACCTTCAAGAGCCTCGTGAAATGATTGTGGAACATTGTTGGATTTATCTATACAAAAATCAGTCTTTGAATCTGAAAGAGAACGAGTAGAAATAAGAAAGTCGTCGGCAAGTGTAGTGGCATAGCAATTGAACGTTGATGCCATCTCCAGAGCAGTTAGGCGAGCCGCTGGGAATAGGCGGGCAAACTTCGGAGGCAGTACAGCTGCGAGTGAGAGACGCGAGCGTCGAGAGCCGTCGATCGCGGGTGGGAGAAGGCGCGGGCAGTCGACTGCGGGGTTGTCGAGTACGAGTGCGACGAGCGTTGTCGAGTATGAGAGCGGCGAGCGTCGAGAGCAGGTGAGACATCGAGTACAGAGACGAGCATCATCAACAAGATGTTGTCTGCGAGAGCGTGAAAGCGTCATCTCGGGAGACAACAGAGAGAAAGTGAGAAATCGAGGAATTATCACCGGGAATAGCCATCGTGCGAAAACCTAGCAGAGCCCCCTGCAGCTGCCGAAGTCGTCATATTATATA